ACTTCATAGGTTATGTAAACAGTGAAATATTTAACCCTTTCATTACTTTTTTCAGGTTGATATTTTGAGACGTAAGTTTTTATATGAGGGGGGGAAAAGGGCAGTTACAGCTTTCTGAGATTAGCATGCTCAAAAATGTCAAGGAAGTTTTAAAAGTTGAATCTTTTTTTCACTGAGGTCTTTACTAATAACCACTGAAAGTTTTGCTGTATGGATGTTGGAATTATTGAGACTCATTAATGGATTATTTAGGATGTAAGGTTAAGACTGTGTGGCAGAAGTATCTGGGAATACTTAAAGGCAAGCTAAGCCCTATTCAGTACCCTCTGAGGGCCTCATTGAACAGGAAGACAGAAGAAACTCCACATACAGTGTAGATGCTGTTTTAGGATTATATGCCACATATTAATCTTAGTGTATGGTCTTTCAGCATCTAGAAAAGCTGTTTGCAGAGGTATTTACTGTCAGACAGTGGCAAACATAAGAACAGGAGAATAAATGACAACAAATTATGTATATCATATTGTAGAATCCATACTTCAAAGAAAGGAGAGCAAGCACATATGTTGAGTGAATGCAGTGTGTGAACTCCTAACTTATTGTACCCTATTTTAATTTTAGAATGATTTAAAGGGTAGTGCTTCTGATATCACCCAAAAGAAGATCTAGGGTGAATGCAGATGTTGAAACCTGGGACCTGTTTGCTGCTTCCATGCTTTTACTGTCTGCGGTCAGTTAAAATATGAGCAAATAGGTAGAGCAGCCATAGACTTTGTTCCTCTTCTTTTCTATTACATGACTTAAAAATCACTTTCTCTAGATCTCAACTTGGACTATCAGAAAGTACTTCGAGGCACTCACCCTTCTTATCCTTAGATACCTCAAATTTCTAAGGACAAATTCTCCAAAAAAGTGAGAATGTTCTCTTTACAAGATGATGGAAATAGTTTGGGAACTCAGCTTCTCTAGGCCTCAGTTGTGTCATCCGTAAAATGGAATTAACAATCCTTACCTCACAGGAGTGTCCTGATGATTACAGGCACTAATGCTACTTAATAAGTACTGTGCTGAAAAACAGTAGCTAGTATTTAAAATAATACCAACCCTTTGATATATTATATGTAGAGATTTTAGTTTAAAATTATGAAACTATATCACATTTTGGTCCATTACTAATTTTAAAAAGAATTACTTTCTGCTGGATAATTTCATATAAAGGATTATAAATAAGTTACATAGATCCAGTAACATACAGACATCCAACCACGTATGTTAAGAAACTCTGACAGTGTTTTACAGTAGTCTCCAAAAAGCCTCTCTAATAGCTTTACGAGGCTGGTGATACAAGCTTTATTTGGTGGTGTTTCTAAATTTGTCCTGGTGATGCTTATTATCTGTACTTTAGCTTTAAGCAGCATAAAGAAAGACTTTTCAATCTGTATTTGCTTGCTTATTCTCTCATTCATCTAACTAGCACTGTGCTAGTCCTATAGCAGATTAAACTACCAAGGAGTTTCCTTGCACCTCAGCAAGGTAAAAAGACATGGAACAAGTAAGTAAATGTGTGATAAATGTTCTGAAGGAAAATAGGTTAAGTAAGACTTTCCTCTCTCCCCCAGGAAGGAGCATTTAAACTGAGACTTAAAAGAGATGGTGTTGCTCCCTAGAGACTAGAGGCAAACTTCCCAGAGATGCAGGGAGAAGAAAAAGAGGAAGAGGCAGAAAACTTAAAGAACGCTGGACTGCTGAACTGTATAGCAGACAAGAGCTGAATGCAAGCAGTAGACAGCTCAGTAAAGTACTAGGAAGTTCCAGAAGGGAGAACAAAAATAGCAATTTGTGTTTCATTTTCAACGACTCTCTTTACCTTCAATGTGGAGAGTAAAATGGTTCAGATTTTCAGAAAATAAAAATTGGGTGACTCAAACAAGAATTTTGGGCATTTTTTTAAATGTTGTTTTCACATTGAAAATAATTTTATAGAACGTTCAAATTTCTAAAGCACTTTTCCCTACTAACATTTATTATCCACTCTGATCCTTCTCCTTCTGACACCCACTTCACTTTTATTAATGTCTGCTACCTTTTTTAAGAATTTTTACTTTGTGGAATCATCTGCTCTGTCCAATATTTATCTTTATCATCCTGATTTGCTTTGCTACACATAATTCCTTTGAACAGCTTCCATTTTGCTATAAGTTGTAACATTTCATCTTTTCTTATGGCTCAATAGTGTTCTGTAGTGTGGGTAGACCACATCTTATTGATCCAATATTCTGTCAGTGGGCATTTGGGCTGCTTCCATGTTGGAGGTTTTGTAAATAGTGCTGCAATAAACATTACATACCATATAGATTTTGTTTTTGTTGTTGTTTAAGTTGATTTAGGTTCTTTGGGTAGATGGCCAAGAGTGGGATTACTGGATCATATAGTATTTTCATTTTTAGTTTCCATAGGTGAATCCAGAGACTTTCCAAAATGTCCACACCCATTTACATTCCCATCAACAGGGAAGTAAGGGTCCTCTTTTTACATTTTCTCTAGCAGTTGTGAGGGTTTTGTTTCTAATATGTGCCAATCTCTGCTGAGACTTGAGATCTCATGGAATTTTCCCTTGCTCAGTTTTGGATTTGCTTTTAAATCTTCTTTCTAATTTATCACTTTTGGAATGGGAATGTCTATCCTGTCTGGTTTATAGCTACAGAGGAATTTTGCCTGAGGATGTATCAGACCTCAAGTCTTACTTGTGCTAAATACAGATATTTTACCATAAAAAATAAACAGGTAAATGAATAAGTGAGATTGTTTTTGTGGAGCTTATAACTTGTAGTTGATTTTACAGAAAATTTCAATCAAATTTATTGTAAATGTTTCTTCATAGGGACTCAGCAACCCTTAAGTATTTTAAAGGATATGAAAATCAGATTTTCATAGGCAGCATTTTTGGGAACTAATTGCATGAAGTAGCTATTCTCAAAATATAGTACATCGCCCGGATGCTTCTACAACCTTTCAGAAAATCAAGCCAGACTGTTTTTTTGGTAATTTACTGTATTACTATTACTATTTTTCCTTAATAATATAAAGCAATATTTGAGTACAATTTGATGCAAAACTTGATTCCCTTAGCAGACAGAATCAAAGTAATGGTTGGGCCCTCCCTGGTGGCACAACGGGTTAAACCAGATACACAGGTTTAAAAATCATTGATACAGAAGTTTTGTCACACACAGTATTATTTTCATTGACAATTTATTAGAACTACTTATCAGCATTGACTAAATTATCGATACATAACTTGCACCCTAAGAGGGCTTGGGAAAATGTCGCTTAGTGGCATTGAGGGTGGAGAGGAGTGTGCACATGTCAGGCCGTGAGAGAAACGATCAAGGGTTCTGAATGGTTGATTCCCCACTTGTAGTCTCCACTCCTGGCTGACTACCTCTAGTGTTAAAAGGAAAATGAAGATACCAGATGCTAGGAAGCATATGGAAAGGTGAAAGGAGTGCCTCAGAAGTTAACAGAGGAAAAGGAAAGATGGGGGGATCGGACACAGGTGAATTGGTGGTAGGAATTTCACAGGGACTACACCTGAGAGGACTATATATGTATGTATGTATGTATGTACGTATGTACATATGTGTATATGTATACACATATAATTTTTAAAATGTCAAGCAGGAAGAGGGCAGGACAAGCAGGATGGTTTATTGGCTAAGATGCTTCTCAACATGAGTCTGTGAAAACACAACTGCTGCCTGCCTACCGAAGGTAAAAGCTAGAATTACTCCAAGAGGTGCTTGTGCTCCCTGTCAAAGTTCTTTATATTCTTTCTTTATATTTGTTTAAGATACGTCGAGGTTCCCTCTTTTACAGACTTTGCCGCTGTTGCAATTTAGTCACTTGTTTGTACATGTACATTTCTGTCCTCACCCTGAACACAATATAGGGTCACTTGGAGAACTTTTTAATAAAATTTATTTTTTAAAATATCTATCTCTGACTCCACCCCCATCTGAGAATAAGTCAAAATTCTGGGAATGGGACTTAGGCATCCCTATTTCTTAAAGCTTGCCAAACAATTGTAATTAGCTAAAGTGGAAAAGTATTGCTCTATAACAGAGTACCTCTATATACTCATATATACTGATCTTTGTAACTCTAGAATTTGACTAACTGTGAGGTTTATGGTTGTTTACCTCTCAGAAAATGTTTGTTAAATATATGAAAATGGAATGAAAAATGAGGAAATATGGCCAACGAAATAGACAGGTCCTTTTGAATGACCAAATATATTAACATACTTTCTTATAATGAACAGTCATCAAGCAAATTAACTGTACCTATTTTGGAATCTTTATTCATGTTAAACTATTATTCCAAATAGATCCAATTCAAAGTATTAACATAAAATTTGAGGTATAAAAACAGACTGAAATTGGTAGGACTATTCTCAGTCTTAATGTTTACTACACAGACCATGAGATGTAGTGTAGATAATTGTTCCACTGCACAATATACAAAAGGAATTTTACTTAAAATAAAGGATTTCTCCTATCAGTTTAAAGTGTGTCCAGTTTTCACAGAATTAACTAAACCTCAGTAATTCCTGCTATATATAAAAAATGTCATGACTATTTAGAATATCTGTTTGCAAGAACATTTATAGCTCTTATTGTCACTCTTTTAAAGCCACTGCAGTAGCTTATTTGACTCCTGAATAGTTGTCTCTTGATACTTTTTAATGAAAGATAGATGGAAATAAACATAAAATGGTTTGCAAAATTAAAGCAGGTTGATAGTTACTAACGTAATGTCACTATCCTAGTCAAGTGACATTTTCAATACAAGTGATAGTTTACAGAGTGCCCCTAACCTAAGATCTGGTTACTAATGATTACCTCAATAAGTAATAATTCTATTTCTTCTGCTTCCAAGATAGTTAATATGGTGCTAAGGGCTTACTTTAATATTCTAAAAATGCATTAATTTTCCCACAGATGAAAAGAAGTGAAGAATTAATAAATATAAATGATAATCAAGAAGAAACAAGTATTCTTCGTTGTTGGAAATGTAGAAAATGTATAGCAAGTTCTGGTTGTTTCATGAATTATCTCGGGAATGAAGTGCTCACAGTGAGTATTGCCAACTACAATCATCATTTTTCTAGCAAAGAATGCTATTGGCACACCCACACTTGTGCACATATATCCTTCCACATCTGGTCTACTTTTACCTTATTTTACTAGACTATTGAAAACATTTAAAAGTGGTTTTCACTTTGAAATGAAAACATTTCAAAAGGCATTCCCACCATCCATAGTTAGTTAATTTTACTGTTAGCTGGTAATGTTAACATGACCTTAAAACTTTGAAGTTCATCATCATAGACCTAAGCTGTAGATGATAGTCATGTTTTTTTTTAGCTCTGCCATAATGGACATTAATCATCCCTGGTTAGATCAAGATCCTATTAAGAAATGAAAAACCTGTAATAGTTATTTTAAAGTATTCATTATAGGCCTAACAAGAGAAAGTTCATGTATAATTTAGAAGTCAGTAATAGAAAAACCTGAAAAGTATTTTCAAATATTTAATTGTTCATCCCATTATTTTAAATGTTCTTTTAAAATAAAACCAAAATCCCTCACATCTCTAAGAGCAGCATGAAAGAGGCAGTTACATATAGTTGCGAACTAGATAGTAACTTTACAGGGAATTCTCAATACAACAGAGAATAACGGTAATCAACTGTCAGTGTGTTCTTCCCCTACTTTCAGAGATATTGTTTTCGTTGTTGTTTGCTGATTTTGCTTTGTGCATCATCTACCTTCAATCCTGATTGTTTGCTCTCTACTATAAGAAAGTGGCCAACTTAAACCAATAATAGTGGATAACTTTGATTGCATACTTATCACTACATTCCAATTACTTTTTAAAAAGTGACAGAATATTTTAATTGAAAAAATCTTTTAATGCTATGAATACTTTATTGGGCATAATTTATACAGAATAAAAATATTGTGTATACTGTTGATAAACTTTTTCAGATCTTCTATAATCAGATCTGCTATTTCAGCTTCTGAAAGTCACCTTGCCCTTTCTGGGCAGTTCTCTGTCTCAGAGAACTATACTGCTATACTGAGGACATCTCTTACCATAGAGTAGTTTCTCTGATTCTTGGCTTTCATTCAAATGGCATCAAATAACATGCTTTTTTTTTTTTTTCCAAGTGGTATCATATAACATGTGGTCTTTTGTGCCTGACTTATTTTGCTTAGTGTAAAATTACTATAGATGGTAACCCTACACTAAGCAAAATAAGTCAGGCACAAAAGAGCACACTATATGATATCATCTGAATGAAGGCCAAGCATCTGAAAAACTACGCTATGGTGATACGCGTCATCAGTCTCCCACCATAGAGTAGTTTTTCTGATGGTGATGGCACCCAGGTGAAGTGTGATGGTGGGAAGTCCATCGGGATTACAACTGAGATTAAAAAAAAATGTACAAAATGAAGAATGTAAAACATATATATATAACTAAAAAAAATAAGGATTAATTTATACTTTGTATGTATTAGTGGTTTGTTCCCTTTTTTATTGGGTAGTATGCCATTTTTGAATATACCACTATTTATTTTTTTCTGCTGATGGACATTTAGGGCTCCAGTTTGGGATTATGAATAAAACTGCTACTGATAATCTTGTAAAGGGCTTTCTGTGTGTTTTCTTGTTATTGTTGTTTTTGATATATACATAGGAATGAATTTTGAGGGTCACAATATTCAAATGAATGTTTACATCCACCAACAATGATGAGAAGTCATTTGCCAACACATGATATTTTCAGACTTGGTAATTCAGGTTTATATACATATATGTGTGTGTATACCACTATAGATACATATATGTGTATGTGTGTATCTATAGTGGTATACACGCATATATATGTGTATGTATGTGTCTATAGTGGTATATCACTATAATTTTAATTTGCATTTCCTTAGTGACTACTGGTATCAAGTACCTTTTTATGTGCCTATTAATTAAGCATTGTTGTAAATTATCCCTTATAGTAACCCTTTGAGTAAGATAATGTATCATCTCCATTTCACAGGTAAGAGGATTAAGTCACAGAAGATTAAATAATTCGGCTCAGTGAATACTTCAATATCCTATAGCCTATAAGCAGTGAGGGTTGTGAGTCAGGTTCTTAACTGCCATGCTCTGTGCCTTTACTTCTCCCTTAGAATATAATGCAATGTTATACCATTCCAGTAGAGTGACTTATCCTTTTATTTACTGGGAGAGGTCCCAGTTATTAATTCATTAAACAAATTATTACTGAGCAAGAACATTTAAGCATCAGTATAGAGTATACATTAAGATGGTTTGTACAGGAGAATGATACATAATCAAAAAAGCATTCTGATCCTCTAGGCACTTTAAACTCTACTTGAAAATAGATCAATGTAGCCTGATTGAATGAATACTTTAACAGAGGAAAGCAAACAAACTACTGATTGGACTTGTCACAGAAGACCTCCCAGAAGAGCTAATAGTTTATAGTTATGTATTTTGTGTGTATATGTGTATATCTCTTTACAGCTTTTGAAGTATAGTATGTAGACCATGAAGTTCACCCGTTAGTAAAACAATAGTTCAAGGAATTTTAGTAAATTTTTGAATTGTGCAACTACCACTACACAACATAGTTTTAAAAACTTTCCATGACCCCCAAAATTTCCTCATGCCCATTTACCCTGCTCCCCTATGTAGCCCCAGAAACCCACTTATCTATTTTCTGTCTCTATAACTTTATATTTCTAATGAAATATATGTATATGCATAATAAAAATACTGAATTATCCCATAAAATAAAAATATATTTACCTGACTATATGTATGAAGTACATATACACTGCACATACCCAATATTTTACCTATATAATAATTATATATTAACATGTATTTGTAAGACATACCTATCTAAACCTACTAAGTATCATGCTAAGGAATAATTCAATATCATTGTTAAATCCAGAGGGAAATATGAATATATAATCAGAGAGGGGTATTGAGAAAATTTTAGGTATTGGTAAAGTATTTATAAAGCTGAGTAGTGAATATATTGGTGTTGGCTTCTATTTAAGTCATTCTTGAAATTATATGCACGTTTTACATTTTACAAATGTATACATTTCAAAATATAGTAAACATAAAAGGATATGTTTTAGTAAAAGCAACCTGCAAAATACTTAGTTTAAAAGTAATTTTATCAAATACTATGCTAATACTAAAATTATCACCTATTAGGTTACCTAGCTTTATTATATATTTAAAATGAACATTCATAAAATGGATGTTTTGTTATTGAAAATGTTTACTTTCTTCAAATGAAACCACGCTGAAGGTAGGTATTTTTCTGGAAATTCGTATCACCATGTTTAGTATAGCTCCAGTTAATTTTCAGTTTTGTATAGTGTTCCACTTTATTCATATAGCACCATTTATATTTGTTCTACCACTGATAGACATTTAAGTTATATAGAGTTGTGCTGCTATGAGCTTTCTTGTACCTATTTTGGCAATTGTGGGCAGGTCTCTGCTATTACAAGTGGGTATCTGCATGTTCACTTTACTAGGCACTACTATGCTGCTTCCCAGTGACAGTCCCAAGAGCAGTGGCTGGGCAATGCTCTGATGCTACATCTTCACCAACACATTTAATGTCTTCTCATTCCAATTCCATTTGTGCTTTCTACAAAATTTTGTTTATCACCTATTTTTCTATAAAGTAGTTTTGTTTGAATTTTGAAAGTTCTTTGTATATTCTAAATGCTAGTCTTTATTGGTTATTGTATTGTTTATATCTTTGCCAGTTTATATATTCTCAGTGGTAACTTTTTGGGAGCAAAAGTTGGTAATACACAGATGAATTCATTAACCACTTCTTTTATATTTTATACATTTTGTGTAAGGACTCTAATGGGAAGATCTTTTTCTTTCCTTCTTCTAAAAACCAAAGTTCACATAGTAACTTATTGTGGGTCCTTCTGAGCAACAGGCTTATTTTTCATTCACTGTTAACACTGAGATTATAACTCATTTATATAGTGGGTTCTTCCTCAAGTACTCTCCCTGTGAGCAAATTCTGGATTTTGTCTTCTGTTCTCCATACCCCATGCAGACATGAAATAGCCCTAAAAACAATGTAGAGGATCAGGAAATGGGGAAACAGCATGCATAGCTGTTGGCTCCAGTTCCACACTTCTGTAGCCCTAATTGATGCCAGGAAATAGAATTCTCACTCTGCCTTCCAGCCTCTATAAAACTAGGAACTAAACTCTGAAATTAGTGTAAATCTACTGCAGAATATAAAAGTATCTCCCAAGCAGGTTTACTAGGAGAAACTACAGATATAATCATCATTTCTGTTTTCATAATACTGTTGAGATAAATCAACTTGGTGGATATTAGGTCATGTATAAAACTTAAGCTGTAAGAGAAATTGGGGCACCCAGTCCCTAGTTTTCTAGCTACTGGAATGCAGTAAGGCCTGTGACAGGGAATTTAGAATGGAGTTTTGAAATAATCTAAAATGTCTGCAGGAACAAAAGTGAACTTCTACCCCCAACTCAGGCCTGAGAAACATGAAATGTTAGAAAGAACCAAAACTGAAAGCAAAGCAACAAGAAAGACCCTAGAATAAAAAAAAAAAATAGAAATGTCTTACATATATGAAATCTGACAGTGAGGATGATTGGTTTCCAGCTTTACTTTCATAATTAGCTTTTATGCCGTTTTAGACATGTCAAGTTTATGTGACAATTATAGGACATTTAAATAGAGATTTATAGGAGATGACTGGTTCTGTTAATAAGGGTCTCTGAACAGAAGTGCAAACTAAAAACGGATTTGGGCTCACCAGTAAGTGAAGATATGAGAGTAAATGAGATTAGCTATGTAGAGTATGAATGGAGTGAGAAAGAAGATGATCTGGGAGCATTTAAAGAGAGGACAGGAAAGAAGAATTCACAAACTAGAAAAAAAAAGACTAGTGAGAAAAACACAACGGAAAATCAGGATACAGTGTTATAGAAATCAAGAGATGGACATCTTCCAGGAGTCTTCAGTGTGTACATTGGACACCGAGAGAAAACAGTTATAAGGGATACTAGTCAGTGAAAGGTGCCAGATTGGTACAAAGTTGGCATTCAAACTACCTGTCCATATTAAGAAGCCTTGAAAGTTAAAAGTACCTTTTGTTTTAGTGAAGAGGAGATCATTGGTAACTTTCACTATATTTATGAGAGTTGTAGCTGCAGGTACTAGATTCCAGGGAGTTAAGAAAAATGGGGAGGACTGAGGAATAATCTAACACAAGTATTATAATTAGTTGATAGGGCTTTTCTATCTTTATAGTACTTCACCCACACAATGGTGGCCATGAGTGTTATATGCCACCTTTTTTGTTCAGAAATCTTGCTCATTTTCTCTCAGGCTTTATTATCCCGGTGTAGTGTCTTTCCTTCAGTGACTAAAATAATGAAATTAATCTTTTTTTGCCCTTTTTACACTTAATATTTTTAACTTTTGGCATATATTTCTTCCATACTCTTACCACATATTATGAACTGAATTCTGTGCCACCACAAATTCATGTGTGAAGTTCTATCCCTCAATGTGACTATACTAAAGATATGTTTTTAAGGAGATAATTACCATTAGTTGAGATTATGGGACAAAATATTAATGTAATGCGTAACAACTGGAAGGGCTACATGGACTCCTCTGTTCATTTCAGTGCTATTTACTATAGCCACGTTATGGAAACAACCTGAGTGGATAAAGAAAATGTATATAAACAAAATGGAATGCCACTCAGCTATTAAAAAAATAGATGAAATATTGCTGCTTTTGCTACCTGGGACTGCAAATGATTATGCTAAGTGAAATAATCCAGGAGAGAGCAATACGAGGTGATTTCATTCATATGTGAAATATAAGAATATAACTCATGAAATATAAAGAAACAAAACAAAGAAATAGAAAAACACATATTAGCATTCAGCTTCAGAATTGAGGTGATTAAAGGGAGGGCTGCAGTGAAGAGCCAAAGCAGAGAGGGATCTCTGTGGTTGAGAAATATTGGTATATCAGTGATGAGCATTTTATAGTAATCTACATCTGAAGAATTGTGTACACCTACCTCTAAATTATATACAGTGTTGTAAGCCAACTTCATCTCAATTAAAAATAATACAACTTTTGAAAATGGAGATTTACCTTTTCCCTACCTTATGGGAACCATCTGCAAGCTAAGAATAAAAGCTCTTCCTCAGACCTGAACCCACTGGCACTCTGATCTCTTCTGACTTCTATGATTGTGAGGAATTAATGTCTGTTGTTTAGGCTTCCCAGTGTATGGTATTTTATTATTGCAGCTCAAGAAGATCAAGACACAACAGGTCCTATAGAAGGGATGCACATTTCAAAGAAAAGTTGAGGAAAAGAGTTCTGCATTTGTGAAGTTTTCAGGCCAGCAGTCAGTCATGTAAATATTAAATTATTAGCTGTATGATTGACAAAAGGCAAAAGTAGAGGAGCCATAAAAATGGGCTACACATAGGATGAACTTACTTGTAAGGGAAAGGATTTTCTGAGGAAATAACTAGCATGGAGATACGTGAGGGCAGTATATATAAGTGAGGGTGGTACAGGAGGTGACATTCCAAGTTTGGGGAACAGCATATTCAAAGACCTGTAGTAGAGAGAATTTACGTATCTGTGGAACTAGAAGATTTTAACGATTGGAGTTCAAAGATCAAGAGGATATTTGGCAAGATTTGAGGCTAGAAATAGGGGTATTGACTGGATAATTGATTGCTTTTATAAACCAAATTAAGGACTTTGATCTTTATCCTAAAACCTGAGTGATACTAATCGTTGAATTTTAAAAAGATCATTTTTGCTATTGCATGAACAGTGAATCAGGAGTAGCAACAATGGATCCTTGAAGTACCTTTCAAAATACAAATAGAAAAGCCAGGCAATCCAATATAATTTGATTCCTTTATAAGTGTAACTCTTTAAATATTTAATTAGTAATGTTACTCTAAATGACATTTTTGGTTACCTGATCTCTTTACCTGTAGTGTTTATAGTTGCAATAGTTAAATGATATAATTGACTTGTTTTTAATGAATTAGCTAAGTGAATGTTATTGACCTTGGAAATGCTAAATGTTAAGACATCATTCAAAGAATTACATAATAGTGAAGTGCTTATGACAGTTTTTTACATTTAACCTGTTCAGCTTAATTAAAAATCTTAAAGATCATTAAGTGATAAGATAATGCATAAAATTTGTAATTTTAAATTAACAGAGCCCACCAACTGAATGACATACCAACTGGAAACATGGCCTACTCTTAAAACAAAATAATGCATTAGCTCCATCTGCTGCTGGAACAGATTATTTCACTTACAAATTATTATTTCAGCATTTTTTCTGACAGCATTAAGTGAAATAGTCTGTTACTTTCTCCGTCCTTTCTTTGTTGTGATAAATCTGACACTTGAAAAAATATGTTCAGTAATATTTTTTAAAATTCTAGTAAAAGTTTTTCAAATTTTCAGTTCGGTTTGATCCCAAATAGACTGTGTTATCACTCGTTTAAAGACTTCAAATTTATCAAGTTGCTTCCTACTTAATTGCTCATCTTAATTGATTGACTAAATCGCTTACCTATAGATTCACTAAAACTTCTTTTATTACAGATATTTGTGTGCTTTTATAAAGACAAAGTTACAACAGACTTAAAAACATAATAGTCTGTACCAAATAACAGTAAAATTATATGGACGTAAATATATTCTAAGTTTGTATGTAAATACAGGTGAAGTGGTTGGCAGTTTCATAATTAAGGCTTCTCTGTTTCATCTTGTCTTCTTTGACATATCTATGTTTTCATACAAAGAAAAAGAATACTATTCACTCTTAACCCAGCATTTTATCCTTTGCCCATGAGTTCCCAGTGATCTTCACTCTTTGCAAGCATTAAAATGTGCTTTAATTTTTAACGTATTTGAGGAAAAGGTCTACTTGCTTTATAGTTATAGATCTCAAATGAAGATTAGGTTGGGTGCTACATATCAGAATTAGCTATGGAGTTTCAAATTACATGTTAATGTCTTGCTTTTGGTTAACTTTATCTTTTATTTTATATATATATTTATTTTTTACATCCTTCTTCATTCTGTACACTTTTTCATCTCAGTTGTAGTGCCATTCTGGACTTCCCACCACATTGGTGAAGTTATTCCTCTTTTTTGTTTGGTTTGTATGCCTGGAGAGAATAGTAGTGTTGGGCCTTAAAACATGCTCAGGCTAAAGATGAACAATAAATTCAAACAAAATATATTAGAGATGTATTTCATTAGTACAAATTATAACACTCTGTATGTTGGATGACTGTTTGTGGTGTTACCTGTTAACATACTTAGATACAGGATACTGTTGTTTCTCTTATTAATCTCTCAGACATTTAAATAAATTTCTGGTCCACTGAAATTTCCCTAAGCTATTGATTATTTTTAAATATATATCTTTTATAGTTTCTGTGGTTTGATAGGGTACACAGATTCACTCTCTCTGCTCACTTTGCACCTTTTTCTCTGAATTTTTCCTATGTCACTTTATCAGAGTCTCCAGTCAATAAACCTCTCTGTTTGCCTTACACTCTTATGAGAACTCATGTGCTAGAGAGCAGTAATATGGTCACTAGTACCTCTTTTCTTCCATTTCATACTGCCATGCGCTTGCCTGGACCTCTCTCATAGGTAGTTTGAAGGCACACATCTGAACCCTGGCCTGTCCTGCATTATTTTTTTGACATGTTGGAAAACTGTACTGTCTCTACTATGTGTCACATTTATTTCTATAAACCTACCTCTGAAAGCTGAAATGTCTCTTTGAAATTTTTGTTGATGTTAGTTCTTAAACAGCTGACATTTAGCAGGGATTTTTTTCTTGCTATCTACTGCACCTCTCCCCTCTCTTCTCACACTTCCCTTGGCACATCTTGATAGAAATATAGCGCGTTTATTCTGTCACTAGAAGAATGTAGATAGAGTTAGATCGAAGGTTGTGGAAAGTTGTCCTAAGTGGCACTACTTTTTTCTCACAGAAAATAAAGTATAGAGAACTGGATTTGTATATTCAATAATTACAGCTAATTTTGAATGAAATGGAGCATTTTCTTAAAAATAAGATAGTTATTCCCTGAAAAAAAGACGATCTTTGTGAGTTTGTTTTGGGGGGTTAGTGATATAAACTATAATTGCATTTACAATTATTTGTTTTACTCAAATGTGAAGTTCATGAAGCAAATCTTAATGACTAATATCTGATGTTTTGATAAAACAGGACAGACACGATGCAATTGATGAACAAAATATTTGTCATGTGTGGCACTTGAATGTAGACGCCCTTCCAGAATGGATAAATTGCTTGATACAAAACGTAAGTCCCCTAGTTTTACAATGACATTAGGAATAGAGTATCTTCAGACTTAAGTCCTTGTGTTAGAATTATTTCTCTTCGTTGTATTATTTCAGGAGACATGGAAGGGTGTGTAACCCCTGATTACACTTAATAGCATCTTCATTATGACTGGAGCACTCTAATTACTTTTTTACCTCAGAAATTGCACTGGTATTTTCCCTTCCTCAGTTATTCTTCACACAAACAATTACTTGTTCCCACATTTCTATAGATTTTTACTTTCAGTGAGACATTGCTGGGTCAGTCTATCGCCCTCCCTTCTGCTCTCATACTTTATGTCCTTTCTCCCTTCTCTGCTTTATTGACCTATCTGTACCCACACAAATCATGTTATATATAAATGTAGTATTGTAACATATCCATACCCACATATTACATACATTGTTATACATATGTAGACACTTATACCCCCCTTAATGGATTACTTATCTTGTTAATTGTCTTGCTTCCCTACTAGAATATAAATGCCATAAAGTTAGGGGTTTTTATATTTTGTCACTGCTGTATCACTAGCACTCAGAACAACATTGAATGAGTGAAATATCCTGTATATATCATTCATGTATGTACATATATTAAACATACTTGATAATTAATGACTTATTGGCTCAGTCAAAATCAAAATGCTCCACTTTCAAAGATTCTTAATGAAATATAAAAGCAAGAATTTACAGTTAATAGTGTATTATCATTATATCTCACTATTCAGAACACACACATCTTAGAAAGGCATAATATGATTTTTAAAGAAAAATAGAGTTGCTTTATAGACTAGCTTCTATTTTTGTTAAAAAAATTAATTTGATAGATATGCCTTGCATCCATTCTTTCATTGTATAATTTCTTGGGAAAATGCCAGTGTACTGCTATGTAAGTCCTGAACTCTACAAAGTGTTTTAAGGCACTGCAGATGTTCTACTAGCTCCACTGAAAAGATAATTTTAAACCAGTGCACTATTAATTTCCAATTGTGTATAGAAAATGTACTATCTGATGTATGCAGCTAATATCTGCTGTTTGTATATATTTTTTAAAAAAGCAGGAAGACCTTTATTCTTTGGTTGGATAAAGTCCTCTCCCACAGTGCTTGGTATGCAAGAAGTGTATCAAAACAGACACTTTTCTGTGAGATTTTACTTGCAAATTAAGCTCTGTAGACTGATCTGCTTCCTGATTCCATAGTGCATTTTTCTTTTCATTAGTTCACACTGTATCCATATTCAACCTATTGTTTAATAGACTTTTTTAGAATTCTTAGGAGTATTGTTTAGGTGGGTATGAAGTGCAAATACGTTATCATTCTAGAACTTTATAACTGCTTATCTCAACTTATTAGAAGACTTGTTTCCATTTGCTGTTTTTCTACTAGTGAAAAAAAACAGAAAGCTAGCTTTTTCTATGGCATAGAAAACTTTCCCATGGTCAGCTTTAAAAAACAAAACAAGTAAAACAAAAAAAACCTCCTTCTCTTTGGTTACTTTACAATGAAAGCATTGTTTTCATTTTCATTTATTACCTGTAGGCCCAGTGGACAGTTGGAAAACTGAATTGCCCTTTCTGTGGGGCCCGTTTAGGGGGCTTTAATTTTGTCAGCTCTCCAAAATGTTCCTGTGGCCAGCTTGCAGCTGTACATCTCTCCAAGAGCCGTACCGATTATCAGCTAACGAGGACAGGCGGACAAATGAGACCCTCTCTGAAATATTTGTTACATCCTAAAGTTCAGTCAGGTTCTGACAAGTCAACTCTGCCGACAGGTGGCAATTCCAAAAACCGAAATCACGGACTTTTCAACATGGCCCAAAATAATAATGGCCCTGGAAGATTAACAGAAGCACTCTGCCTGGAGGTACGATCAACATATTTTGAGATGAAGAAGGAAAAACTGCTGTTCAAAGCTTCAGATCCAAAATACCAGCTTTTTGTTCCCCAGCTTGTGACTGGCAGATGCACTCCAAGAGCTTTTCATAGAAAATCTCATAGTTTGGATCTGAACATCAGTGAGAAACTGACTTTATTACCCACTTTATATGAAATACATAGTAAGACCACTGCCTACCCTAGGCTAAATGAAACACAGCCTATTGACCTGTCAGGCTTGCCTTTAGAAGCTAGTAAAAATAGCTGTTCCTTTCAGATTTCATCAAGTTTTGATCCTAACATGCTGCTGCAAAGATTTTCAGTGGCTCCCTGTGAGACTCAGACACAAAGAGGAGGAGAATTTCAGTGTGGTCTAGAAGCTTCTGCAGTGTACTCTGACCATACTAGTTCTAACAACCTGACTTTCCTGATGGACCTACCCTCAACTGGCAGGAGCACGCTGGAGGCCTCAGACCAGGAAGAGCACCTCTCCCCCTTGGACTTCCTGCACTCGGGCAGTTTTTCATTGGGTGCCATTAATCAGAGGCTCAGTAAGAGAGAAAGGAGCAAATTGAAAAATTTGAGAAGGAAACAGCGAAGGCATGAAAGATGGCTGCAGAAGCAGGTAATTTTCTAAAGCGTCTACTAAAAAAACTTTTATTATAAATGTTAAGGCATGGGGATAAACTTTTGAATACTTGAGCAATATAAAACTTAGGTTTAATAATTTTTGAAATGACAGTTCTTTCTAGGTGGACTTAATAATGGTACAGCTCTGTTAGCATATGCATGCATAACCCTTTCTCTGTACTGATACATGGGTAGCCTTTTTAAAAAGTTTTTTCCAATTCTGCTAATATTATAAAGGAACATGAATGGCTGATTACTGAAACTAGATCATCATGAGCATTTTTAGTTAATGTTGTTTGCAGTGATTTTATTTCAGATTAAGGAGAAATAAAAAACATTTCTCTAAGCAAATACAATCAAATAACAAATTCATTCACTTTCATATTACATTTAGATTAAATTAGTATTTTCAAAGTGCCTTATTATGTTCCTGTCTGATCTAGATATGGTTAATTATGCAAAATTGTGAAAATGATCTAAAGGACAGCTGGTCTCACAGTAACTTTGTAGGAGAGTGTGCTTTCTTATGGTATAAACTGTTCCTCCACTCATCATGATATGTTCAAGGGTGCAGTGTGTGAAAGAACTGAACACTGTTAGGCACTGAAGAAACCAATTAAAGCCAGTGGATAAGTATACATGAAAATATGGATTCTTGAGGGCTAGTAATTTCTAATAACTTCAAAATAATGTAATATTATTTTGCAAACTGCCTTTATTACTTATTTGTTCATAATAGGTAATAATCCTTATTAATCAGTGTGCTGAAAGCTAACAGTAACCACAGAGCTAAAATACAGAAAGCTTTAACTTGACATTATTTAAAAAAAGAAATAATTCATTATTGCTTAGATCCTAGCCATAGACTGTATAAAATAAAATTACTACATTAAGAAAGGTAAATTTTCATCTTGCAGTTGCTGACAAGAGCATCCAATTTGGTATGTTTATAAGTGATAAAATACCGTGGCTTCAAAGTGTATAGTAGAACATAACAAATGCATATATTTTTGTAACATCATAGTATATTCTTCAGTTAATTTAGTGAATCTGCAAAATTAAAAAAAAATGTTAGCAGAAATATTACTTGAATTTAGATAAACTGGAGATGATCATATGTTAAGTGAATATTCTATTCAAAATACCTTAAAAAATTCCCTAACAAATGTGGGTTTAAAAAAATAATGTATTTGCTCTGTACTATAAATATTGCAAATAGCATTTGTGCAGTTTCAAAAATGTGCTTAATTCTTGGGTTGGATATTTCTGAAAAAATGAACTATATGATTATTCATTTTGCAGCATAGAAACTATTTTAGAGTCTAGAACAGAGCAATACCAAAGTTAATGCTGTTGTTTTTATTAAATTGCTTTTTTTTTCTTTCACACACAAGTGATTTAACCAATTTGCCTAACTAATTGATCAGAATGGGTTTTAGATAGACCTGTGACAGGTCAGTATAAGGAGTGGCATTGTGGGGGCTTTACAAGATTGCTTGGCTGCACAGGTGCTATAAGCAAACAAATACCCATAGTTTTACTAGCAAAAAAAAAAAAAAAAGTAAAAGTGTGTATCAGCTTAGGAATAATATCAGTTACCAGTGTGAGTGAGCACCATAATTGGAGCCAGAAGAAAAGAATTAAGTTGGTCTTTCTAATTCAAGCCAGGAGATAAATTCCAGGAAGAGTTAATGCCTAACCTGAAAGGCTTTGCTATTCAGCTTATCCCATTTTTAATAAAGATATATTAATTCTGTAAACATTAATCAAGTATCTTCTTGAGGTACCACACCTTTGGTAAATTATGAGTTTGGGTAAAAAATTACTTCAATACAGATACTGTTTTTTTAAAACGAGGAAGATAAGCATACAAAATATAAAGAGAAAATTACCTATTAACAATTTATAGATTTAAAAAAATTGGGAAATCTGTACTTCTAATTTTCATTTGGCATTTTTAATGATTTTTTATGCAAGCTAGACATCTTTTTATAATCTGATAGAAAATGTTAACATTGAAAAATTATTTAAATTTTGAAACTAGAGATACTGAGATTAGTATCTCTAGAAAATGAAGTAGAAGTAGAAAATACATCTAGCTTTCAATATTTTTGGTTAACAGTTGTTGATGGAGCATCTATTTTTGGAAAAGACAGTGTTGAGCTTACTTCAGTTAAAAAAAAAACCCTTTTTTATTCAGCATACTTTTTTTTGTTTGTTTTTGTCATTACCATGCAATAAAAATGAGTTATTCTTGGTACAAAACTCAGTGGTCTAAATATGTGTATAAATTCATTTAACCAATATCACAATAGGTATACAAAACTATTCCATCATAGTAAAAGCTTTCTTGTGCATTTATTACTGCGCCATGATTATATTCTTATAATCACACCCTCATACCAGCTCTTATCCCCTGAAAAACACTAATCTGTTCTTCATTACTTTAGTTTTGTCTTTTTGATAATGCTATTAAAAAGTTATAAAATTGGAATCATGTTATACAGTACCTATTGAGACTGACATTTCTACTCAGCATAATTGCCTGTGAAATTCTTTGCAGATGTTGCATATATTATTGTTCAGTAGTTTTTCATTATATGATTGCACTAGTTTATGCATTTTCTATTGAAGGAAAGGTGAGTTTGTTCTAGGGTTTGACAATTATGCATTGTATAAACATTTATTTATAGGTTTTTGTGTGAATCGAAGTTCTTTTTTTTTATTGTAAATATCTAGAAATGGGATTGCTGAATCATATGGAAAGTAGATATTTACCCTTATGAAAAACTGTCAGTTTTCCCCAAATATTATCATTTTCTTATATCCAAGCAGCAATAAGTCAAAGTCCATTTGCTGTGCATCCTTGCAAAACTCAGTATTTATTTTGTCATGTACTAGTTATATTGTCTATCACAGTTATAATTTTATTTTGCATCTCTCTAACATCATTTCCCTAATTATGCTAAGTATTTTGTGTGCTTTTATAGGTATTCTTTAGTGAGGTATTTATTAAAATAGTTTGGTCTTTTTTTTTTTTTTAATTGAGTTGTGTTCCTTGTGTTGAGCTTTGAGTTTTTCATGTATTTGGAAGTAAGTCCTTCTTTGAGTTTGTGATTTATAAAGATTTTCTCCCAATCTGTTTTGTCTTTAGTCTCTGAATATTTCCCCCTGTTGAGTAGACATGTCTTTAGTCTCTGAATATTTCCCCCTGTTGAGCAGACATGTCTTTAGTCTCTGAATATTTCCCCCTGTTGAGCAGACATGTTTAGATAGATTTAGATTCATTTTGATGAAGTCCAGTTTTCAAAGTTTTTTTTGTGTGTGTGTGGATTATATATTCATATCATACTTAGGAACTCTTCCTAATCCTATGGTTTCTTTTAAAGTTTTATCATTTTAAGTTTTACACTGAAAATGATGATTCATGATGAGTTTTTTTAAAAATAAGATGTGAGGAGATAGAGGTGCATAATTTTGCACAGCAGTGGTTGGTTGTTCCAGCACCATTTGTTGAAAATATTTTCTCCGCTGCAATAAGTACTTATGCAGCTTTTCCAATAATCAGTTACTGTGTATGGCAGGATTTATTCCTATACTCTCTATCCTCTATCAATAGCCACTTTTTCTTGGTTATTGTAGCTCTATAGTAAGTTATAAATTAGGGTTCCATGATTCCTTCAACTTCTATACTAGCTCCTTTACCTTTCTCCAAAAAAAAAAAAAATTAGAATCAGTCTGCACATGTTAAAAAATTCTGTTGACATTTCATTATGTTAAATCTATCTAAATCAACTTAGGAAGAATTATTATAGTTTCTATGTTGATTTTTTTCTATCCATGAATATTGTATGTCTCTCCTTTCTATGCAGGTTTTCTTTTATTTCTTTCATCAGTGTTTTTTAGTTTTCAGCATTCAGAACCTGTGAATGTTTTGTTAGATTTACACCTAAATGCTTACTTTTTGTTATTTATTTAAAAAAATTGATTTACAATTATAAATTGCTGTTACAGAAAACATGATTAATTTTTGTTTTTGACTTTGTCTTATGATGTTAGGGATATAGGTTTTTGATATCTTTTGTCAGACTAAATAATCATATTTTATACTGTTGGTATACAGAATAGTTTTATTAGATTTTAATTTCCAATGGTTCACTGATAATATGTAGAGTTTTGTGTGTTGAGTTTTGTGTGTTGAACTTATAGCCTATAAACTTTCTAATCTCACCTGTGAGGAATAGTAATTTTTTTTAGATTCCACTGCATTTTCTACTTGGATTATCATGCTACCTGCAAATAGACAGCCTTACTTTTTCCAATCTTATTTATTTTTCTTTTTGCACTGTTGAACTATTTAGTACATACAGTACAATGTTGAGTAGAAGTGGTAAGCACAGACAGCCATTTCTTTTATTGGTAAGCACAGACAGCCATTTCTTTTATTAAGAGGAAAATAGTCAGTTTTTCACCATTAAATATAATGTTAGTAGCAGGTGCATGGGCTTTTAAGGATGAGATTTCCTTTTACTCCTAGTTTACTAAAAGTTTTATGATGAATGAGTTCAAATTTTTTGTCACATGCTTTTTCTGTGTCAGTTGATATGACTGTGTTTTCTATGATAATATTGATTGTAGTTACTGAGCTAGTTTTAAATTCACATTGAAAATACCATTTCATTATGTTGTGCTTTTCTATTTAATGTTAAATATTAGTTGCCAATATTTATTATAATAATTTATTTTTACATCATTTTGTGCCTTTTCCATCTCAGTTGTAATCCCCATGGACTTCCCATCATCAATTCACCCATGTGCCATCACCACAGTTGCCAATATTTTTAAGGGTTTATTATTTTTTGCCTCTGCACATAGGTGACATTGGTCTGAAGTTTTGTCTATTTTTATGTTTCTGGTTTTGATAGCAAGGTAGTTGGCTTTATAAAATGAGTTAGGCAATGTCTTTCCTTTATTTCTAGAAAATATTGTGAAAAA